GACAGAAGTTCTCCTGCCGAGGTCGTCTTCCAGGATAATCAAGTCGAGAACCAGCGGGACTCGTAGCCAAAGCCGGGGTCAGAAGCCAGGAAGAATGGTCGCCAGAGCCGGGGTCAGAAGCCAGGAAGAATGGTTGCCAGAGCCAGGATCAGAAGCCAGGAGGAGTCTTAGCCAAAGCCGAGTGGGTATCCAGGAGAGCAAGGAGTTAACTGAACAGGAGCTTGCTGCTGTGCAACAGACAAGACATGAATGCAATGGACAGCAGCTACAAACAGCAGACTTAAATGTGATAAGCCGCCACCTCCTGGGAGGAGCCACAGAGGGCAGAAAGCATAAAGGATCCCACCATGCTTTGCAGACCTAAGATGGATGCCAGCACATGGAGCAGCACAAGCCCTGAGGAAAGGTAGGACCTTGATACTTACCTGGTGATGGAGGCCAATAGGGCATCCCTTGTGGCTAAGTTCCAGACTCCCCTGAGAGTGGGACAGCGGGAGTCAGGCCCAAAGTGGCACAGGTCACCTGTAGGACTGCTTGTTGGTGGTCCACCCAGGAGCACAGCTGATGCACGGAGATGAGGTCTGCAGACAGATGGCGCCTGTGCGAGGTATGCAAGTCCTTCCAGGAATAGAGGATTACTGGATAGCCGATTCAAGCCAAGGTCAGGTACCAGGTGGGAATCAGAGCAGACGTAGTCAGATGAGATAGCCGAGGTCATACAGAGAGGAGCGAGAGAGAGAGTATCCATTAGCCAAGCCGAAGTCATACACAGAGGAGCAAGAGAGAGAGAGTATCCGTTAGCCAAGCTGAGGTCATACACAGAGGAGCGAGAGAGAGTATCCATTAGCCAAGCCGAAGTCATACACAGAGGAGCGAGAGAGTATCCGGGAATGGGAGGGTAATTGATTTTTAGCTTTTAATTAAGCTTTGTTTAAATTATGTGTGCTGCTTGGACACCAGGCATTTTCAATTGCCAGAAACTTGAAACTTTCATTACTATATTTTGTGAATATTAATTAACCGTGATCACTTTTGTTCTATGTCTTCTTTCTGATTTTCAGACACTTTCACTATAAATATATCACAATTCAGATGAATACATTTTGCATTTTTCAAATAAAAAAAAGGATAAGATGTGTAACATACCTTGAGTTTTTCTGTAAGATTTACAGTTTATATGAAAAGGTTTGATGTGTTTTAAGGGCAAGAACATTATGTAATATTTGTTAATTCTCCGAGGATGTTACATTTTGGTGAACTGACACTGCATTGTAGCTCTTGATATGCATTTGATCTTGAAGCATATTCTTTTAGAGAGAAAGAGACATCACACATCACTAGTTTCTTCCATCTCACTTCCTAGCTGAAGTGCTGGGCCCCATATGGTCATTCTGAGCAGAGAACAGCTGTGACAGATGAAGCTAGGTCTTGTTGTGCCCCTGAAGGCATGCTTGACCCATTCTTTTTGGAAAACAAAGAATTTTACATTTGCAAAATATCATGTCTCATAGGTACAAAATATACACCGTGAAAGCCAAAGCCTTGTAAAAGTACACTTTTTAAAGAAAAGGCTCATTGATATTCAGAAAACATAAACAGGTCTCTCATTTAATGAAGTAGTGTGTGTTATGAGATATGAATAAAATAATCCAACAAGAAGCAGAAAAAGTATAGACAGGAGCTCAGGTATATAGACGTGCATGCCAATATACTGTATACAGTATGCACAACCTTTCAGACTGATAGCTTAGGTGCTGTGGCAATTTTGTATTTCATGTAATTGTTTTCAGTTTTATATATTTATTTACAGCTTTTTTTTTTAATTTAACCAGTTGGCAACCACCTTATAGCAGCTTTACCGCTCCAGGGTGGCCACTGTGTGAAATCACGTATACATACACAATTCTGCACTTCCTGGTTGGGCACGCGCGCCCTCAGCATGCCGCTTCTGCTGTGATTTGTCACAGCAGAAGCCGATCAGTGGGTTTCCAGCCAATGGATGACTGCCAACACCCATTGATTGGCGAGGAGACAGAACACAGCTCTGCCTATGTAAACAAGGCAGAGCTGTGTCCAGTCAGTAGCGATGTGCTGGATTTTGTTTCCCTGCAAAGCAGGGAATAAAATCCAGCACATCCCTTAGTTAAAACACCACATACTACACATAATGTATAAATACTGGCTAGGCACACGGTTAACACTTTGATCACCATAGATGTTTATCCCCTTCCCTGGAAACAGCATATAGGGTAGACACCACGCAAGGCTAACCTGCAAGAGATGCCATGTTGCTGGATGTGTCTGTGTGCCTGCTTGAATAATGAATAAGCACTAAAGGAGTGTGAAACATGTCTACTAATGTTCCCAGAGCTGTGTATTACTGTCTTTTTATCTTCATGGATTGAATAATAAAGAAGTCTGCTGGTTACATATTGGAGTGCCTCTGCTTCTTTTTCTTTAACCCCTTGCCTGCCAGTGTCATTAGTACAGTGACAGTATAAATCTATAGCACTGATCATTGGTGTCACTGGTTCCCACAAAGTGTCAGTTAATGTCAGTTAGTCTCAGATTGTCCACCACAATATCGCAGTCCCACTATAAGTTGCTGATCACTGCCATTATTAGTATAAAAATAAATAAAATTTCAGTATATATGTCATAGTACAGTATGTAGACACTACAACTTTTGTGTAAACCAATCAACATATACTTATTGGGATTTTTTTTACCAAAAATATTTAGCAGAATACATATTGGCTTAAGTTTATGAAGAAATTGATTTTATATTGCATATGTTTTATAGCAGAAAAAAAAAAATTTTTTTTTTTTTTTTTCAAAATGTTCAGTCTTTTTTTTTTGTTTATAGTGCAAAAAATGAAAAACTCAATGGTGATCAAATACTACCAAATGAAAGCTCTATTTGTAGAGAAAAAAATGACAAATTTAGTTTATGTACAGCATTGCACGGCCGTGCAATTGTTAATTAAAGTTACGCAGTGCAAAAAATGGCCTGGTCAGGAAGGGGGGAAAATCTTCTGGAGGTCAAGTGGTTAAAAGAGTAGCAAGATCGTAGCATGAAGCATAGTTATATAACAGAGGAAAATATATGAAAAACAAAATTCCAATTAGAAGTACCAATTTACTCATGCCCAGATGCATGTGCAGGATCTGTGAACTCTTTTTTACACCACTCCTTGGCTTCCTGGACATGACCAAGAATTATATAATTCTCAGCTTCTCTCCTTCGGAGAAGCCACACATAATGGGGCAGAGGTAGCATAGCAAAGTGATCTAAAGCCAGGTGATAGTCCCTCCACTGTCAGAACCAAAGTTGGGCTGAATCCTAATAGCATGCAGCTTCTACAGAATATTCAGACCCCAGATTTGTTTCTAGTGGGGTGCTCCTTTGTCCTTGGGCCCTGGATATTTCCAGCTGTTCACCTGTATTACTAGAGCTACCCTAGACTTCACACAGCTGTGTTCTGAACTGAAGTAGTGATGCAGCTTCATTTTATTCTGTATCACAGAGACATGTTGTGAAGAGTCCATGTTTATTTAACTTTCACATGTTTTTGAAGCTTTCAGTATTCTGCAGTATATTTATTTTTACCCCCTAAACCTGTTTTGCATTGTTTCCTCTAACTTTACATCTGATTAGTAAACTGCAAGTTACATTTATTATTATTATTATTATTATTATACAGTATTTATAAAGCGCCAATGGTTTGCTCAGCGCTGTACATTACAAAGGGGGACAGAACATGTGACAGAACAATACCAATACAATGCAAAACATGAGGGGATCGAGGACCCTGCTCTTTCGAGCTTACAATCTAGGAGGGAGGGGATAGTGGTACAGGAGGAGATAGCTGTGGGGGATGGAGTGGTAGGAAGAGTGGAGGAGGTCGGCAGATTAGCAGGGGGTGGGGTAGGCTTCCCTGAAGAGATGGGTTTTCAGGGTGCGCCTAAAGGAGAGGAGAGTAAATGATAATCTGATGGGTTGGGGCAGGGAGTTCCAGAGTATGGGTGATGCCCTGGAGAAGTCCTGGAGGCGGGCATGGGAGAAGGAGACCAGGGAACTAGAGAGAAGGAGGTCCTGTGAGGAGCGGAGAGTGCGTGTAGGGTGGTACTTGGATATTAGGTCGGTGATGTAGTTTGGGGCAGTATGATGGACAGCTTTGTACGCCAGTGTTAGGATTTTGAATTTGATCCGGTGGGCAATCGGAAGCCAGTGGAGGGATTGGCAGAGGGGGTGGTGGAAATGGAGCAGTTGGTAAGGTGGATGAGTCTGGCTGCCGTATTCAGGATCGACGGAAGTGGGGATAGCCTGTGGTGAGGCAGGCCAGTGAGGAGGGAGTTGCAGTAATTGAGTCGTGATATGATGAGGGAGTGGATGAGCTGCTTAGTGGTTTCTGGGTTTAGGAATGTGCGTATTTTGGCGATGTGGTTATTCACAGCACCTCAGCTTTCCTCCAAAATGGGCTCTGTGAATTTGCTTAGCTCATATAGAGCCAGAAAGAATAATGCCCATAGTGTAGTATATTCCAGTAAACCGTTTATAAGGTGCATGCAGAAAGAATCAGAATAAAATTACGCTGACCATAAGGATCCAAGATGGCCGCCGGACCTCCACGTGGTCCCGGCGGCGTGACGTCACTGCAAACAGCTCCTCCTTTATGCATTTCGTGCTAAGGCACGTACTCATAAGGGGTGTGCTCGTACAATGAGTGGACAGAACCCATCATTGGACATGAACTCCCAGGTTCACCAGAACTTCCACTAGGACTGCGAGGCCGGCCTCAACAGTCAGGTCAACCTGGAGCTGTACGCCTCCTGCATCTATGTGTCATTAATTTGATGGTGACATGGTGGCATTGAAGAACTTTGCAAAATATGAATTTCCATGAAGAACACGTGCATGCAGAGAAACCTATGAAGAAGTAGAACTGATGTGGAGGGAGGATATTATTGCAGGTTGTGAAAAAGTCAGATCGTGATGAATGGCGCAGTGGTTTGGAGGCTCTAGAATGTGCTCTGCAGCTGGAGAAAAGTGTCAACCAGTCCCTTTTGGATCTGCACAAATTGGCTACAGATTGCAATGACCTTCATCTTTGTGACTTTCTGGAAATGCATTACTTGGATGAGCAAGTGAAATCCATAAAGGAGCTGGGTGATCATGTGACCAATCTGGGAGCCCCACAAAATGACATGGCTGTATACCTCTTTGACAAACACACATTAGGAGAGTCCCATGACTGTGCTTTGTCCTGCTTCCTGCCCTCTACTTTTATCTATTCTGTTTATTTGTGAAATCTATAGTTGTTTCTCTGCTATATTTTTGACACTAATAAAAATGTACAGTACAAGAAAAAACAAAAATTGTTCCCAATGACAAAACACAAGGTTCTAATTGTGTTATTGGCATCAGGTAATAAGAGACATGTTTCTATAGAAAGCTTTTCTAGTGCTACTCTGGACCAAATACATATTATTCTGCAGATACAGCTTTGTCTGCATATCCTCAGTGTGAACACGTACATTTTGAACATAGCCAGGTGGCTGAAGTGGCGATTTCTAGAACCTGCATAATGAACAAAAAAGGCAGTAACCGCTTTTTCATGGCTGATATTTTGACCACCTTATTATTTTACTCAGAAAGATGATCTAGGCATAAAATGTGGTTCCAGTAAACACTGCCTGACTGTTTTACTTTTAAAGGATTATTGCTTTTGTTTTATTGATAATAATGGTTACAAAGGTTCTGAATTTAATTAAAGTGGTGAGTATAAAGTGCGAACAACTAGATGTCTACATAGCTGCTACAGCCTTCATTGTCTTCTACCATGCATGAATAGTGTCCGCTGTGAATGGGAAAAGCTTCACCACTTCCAGGTGGAGTTGGAGCTTGTCTGCATCTTTCTACCTCTCCTTTCTCCAAATGCTTCTATTGGCCTATCACTTTAATGAGCTGCCTGGTGAGCCAATAGGATTGGGTTTGAGATGTTGAGAGTTGGAAAAGCTCTGTCACTACCAGAGGCGGACTGACAACTCATGGGGCCCCCGGGCAATAGGGGATCATGGTGCCCCTGTGTCCGTGCCCAAACTCAAAAAAGCCTATGAAAAAGGTACCAGGGGCATCTCATGGGGCCCCCTACTGGCCCCGGGCCCTCGGGCAGTGCCCGAGTTTTCAAATGGTCAGTCTACCCCTGGTCACTACTAGAAAGTGTTGGTGCTTTGCTTATCTTGAATGACCTACAAGGCATAATTGAGTCAACTCTTGCATCTTGGAAGATAGTTGGTAGTAACCCTCTTCTAAAAAAAACAGTACTCACGCCATCATTCATGTGAATGACTAGCTTACTTTACTTGTCATCACAGGTATTTATTAGTTTTTTTACCATTGCAATTTGTATCTCAGCTGTCATACATCGTCTTTGGCTGAACCCATTCAACTGGTGTGCATTCTTTTCTTTTGTACAGTAGGCAGAAGGAAGGCCATATTGATGAGTAAAGAATATACCAGGGGACACACATTTTTGCAGACATTGACAGTTAAAATCTGATATTGTGATAAGCTGCAGCTGGATCATACCAGTGATGTTTATTTCAAGAGATTTCCAGACAGCTGTACTATATATGATTCCCTGGAATACCCTGTAGTTTATGGCTGGGAGGAACAACCAGCCTGAGGCCATTCAGCTGTGTTTCTTTTCATAAAGGTGACATTTATTTTATATTTAATGCTGCTTCACTAGATGACAGAACATTTTGCAACCTATAAAGTTTTTTTGGTCTGAAAGCTGCAAGTGCAGCAATAAAAGATTTACCAATGGTGATACTGTTTATTCTAGAAACACCATATTCTTCTGTAATCTGACTAGGAGCAGAAAGTTAACCACCTTGCCTTGTTTCACAAAATAGAACATGCACATTCTATATTAGTCAAATTCAGCATCTCTTATCTGAATGTCAAACCCTTGTATCACCTGTCAATCTTTGTAGGTGGAATATATACAGAAACAAGGTAACTGAAAACTGCACCATGTAAATTTTAATCAGCTGCCAGTCTGGCATGATCAATAACAATGCAAAGAAGAAGAACAGAAAAAAAACCCAAAGCAAATAAAGATATTAATTTAAAAAAAAGTCAAAAGAAACATTATGCAACATGGATTTCCTTAGTACCATCAAGGACATCACATGTAAACTTATTGTTAAAATCCCAAAGTTTCCTTATTACAAAAAAGGAACTATACAGATTAAAAATAACAAGCCCCCATTTTGACAAAAGATATTAACCACTTGCCCTCCAGAGGATTTACTCCCCTTCCTAACAAGGTCAGTTTTTGCGATACGTCACTGAGTTACTTTAATTGGCAATTGCGCTGTTATGCAGTGCTGCACCCAAATTAAATTTATGTCCTTCCTTTCCCACAAATAGAGCTTTCTTTTGGTGGTATTTGATCATCTATGCTTTTTCATTTTTTGCGCTATAAGAAAAAAGTCCTACAATTTTGAGAAAAAAAGCAAAATTTTTGACTTTTGCTATTAAACATGTCCAGTAAAAAAAATTAAAAATCAAATTTTGTCATAAATTTAGGCCAAAATGTATTCTGCAACATGTCTTTGCTAAAAAAAAATCCAAATATGTGTAAATTAATTGATATATGTGAAAGTTATAGCGTTTACAAACAGCGGTATATATATTTTATTTTAATTTTTTTATACTAGTAATGGCAGCGATAAGCAACTTATAGTGGGACTGCGGAACTGCGGTGGGCACTCTGACACTGGGAGGAACTGACTAATTGCCACTGACATCTCAATGACACTAATACAGTAATCAGTGCTAATGGCACTGGGCAGAAAGGGTTAACAACTGGGACGATCAAAAGTTAACTGTGTGCTGTGTGCTGTTTCACTGTGTGGTGTATGTGTGCTTTACTCTGTAAGCACACTGCTTTGCATGGTTCTGCTATGCAGAGTCATAAAAATCAGTGTGCAGGAGCTGACAGGGGAAAGATCTGTATTGTTTACATATAGGTCTCTCCCCCGTCCGTGATACACGGTGATCACCAGGTGCCAGTGGGTAATCACTGGCCGGGGCCCGGTGATTGACAGCCGAGGCTGCCAATGGCGGCACAGGTAGGGCGCGCACGGCTCGCATATGCCCCCTACCTGGAAATGCAAAATCACGTATACGTGATTTTTGTGCACCCGTCGCCCTGTAGCAGTATTCTGCTATAGGGTGGCGGGGAAGTGGTTAAGTAACTAAAACAAATTAGAAATGTGAAAAACTTTGAGCATAATCACATTTATGGAAAACCCATCACAAACCTGCCAAATTTAAATTGAGTATTTGTTGAAAAAAACACATAGGCGGGGGTTGCCTTTATAAATTACATATCAAAATGGTCAGTAGAGATATAGGCAGTGGAAGTTATGTGCAAAACTTGATTCCTACTGTCAAAATACAACGTGGTCTCCAGCCTTTAAAGCCTTTTTGTTGTTGTTCAGTGTGGCTCTCCATCTCAGCAAAGAGCCAAAAGGTGGTAAAAGTGAGGAACCAATGCCAATTTATACAGGAAATGTAAAAGTTTAATTGCAAATCGAGCTACGTGTATCTTTAGATATATATTAGGGGGGTTATTAACTAGACCTGCATGAGGCAAAATGTGGTGCAAGTCTGCATAGAAATCAATCAGCTTCCAGATTTTATTGTTGAGACTTATTTGAAAAAAGCTGAATTTAGAAACCGATTGACTACCATGCACAGCTGCACCAAATTCTGAGTGCACTAGTTTTAGTAAATCTCCCCCACTGTGTGAAGATCAGAGGGGAAAACAGGCTTTTGTCAGACAGTTCTGTAAACTTAAAGTCCACTTTTGTCAACCAAACAGAAACAACAGGCCTTGTCTTTAAATTCAGATCAAACAAGACAGTTGCAGCTTCCAATTGGTGCAATACACAGTACAAATGCATAAGCCCAAGTTTGCTTAGCTTTGGCACACACAGTATTCAAAGTCCCACTAAAAGGTAGACTCCACCGCTACCATTCAAAACTTCCTAGACACACTACCAAATTACCCCGACTCACATAGTCTCAACTTACATCTCTTTCTGTACCAATCTCTCCCGCAGAAAGAGATTGTAACATAAAAAACATTACCTCTGAATAAATCTCCAGGAAATGACGGTTTCACAAACTAATTCTATAAAACACTTGCACCAAACCTCACTCCACATTTATCTGAACTATTTAACCATGTTGCCTCTACAGGTTCATTCCCCTCTGAAATGCTACAATCAATCACAACCAACCATCCCTAAACCAAACAAAGATCCCCAACTGGTCCAAAACTACAGACCAATCTCCCTATTAAACACGGACATAAAATTATATGCCAAACTAATCTCCCAAAATTGCTTCCCTACCTCTCCACACTAATTCATCCAGACCAAGTGGTATTTATCCCTGGTTGACAAGCACCAGACACAACTAGGAGAATAATATCCCACCTTTACAAACTTGAATCCACTAAACAACCCTCACTACTCTTATCTCTAGATGCTGAAAAAGCATTTGATCGAATCCACTGGCTTTTTATGAAACTTGCTCTCCAACAATTTGGAATAACAGATTGGATGTTATAAGCAATCCTCTCCCTTTATTCCAACCCTTCTGCCACAGTTTTAAATAATGGTACACTCTCACAACCCTTCCATATATCCAATGGCACCAGACAGGGCTGCCCCTTATCTGCTATAATTTTTACCTTATTAATTGAACCCCTGGCATCCAAACCCAGAGATGACCCAACATTCACAGGTATTACTCATCTTAAAATGGAACATAAAATTAGCCTCTTTGCGGACGATAATATCTTAATGGTTACTAATCCTTATAAATCTCTCCAAACGATACGCATTCATCTCCACAACTACTCAGAAGTCTCCTACTATAAGCTTAACGAACCAAAATCCTCCATTTTAAACCTATATACTCCTCCTAGGATCCAAAATATGCTGACCAAACATTTCCCTTTCACATGGGAACAACATAGCATCCCTTACTTGGGAATCAAACTCACTACCACAACTAACCAATTATATGAAGTCAATCACAAACTGCTACTTGATTCTATCCTACAGGAACTTAAACAACTACACACATCAACGTTATCGACAATGGGTAGAATAGCAACCCTAAAAATGTGTATATTACCTAAAATACTTTACATATTCCGTACTCTCCAATTCCAGTTCCCAACTCCCTTTTCTCCAAACTCCAAGCGATACTAAACAAATTC